GGGGCCTCCTCCATTTCAAGGGTGACTGTGCCGCTGACGTCAGGCAGCTTTTGGTTCATTCCCTGGCGCGAGGACTTTATTTTCATAACAGCGTGCAGTGCCACGGAACTGGAATAGGCGTGTCCTCCCCCCGACCCACTCCCGCCCCTTGTCCCTCCGCTCACCTCCTCGCTCACTCCCTCCCTCCCTCCGGCGACAGCCGCCTTTATAAATGCTCGGCGCCTCGAGGGCGGGATCGCTTTCGCGGGCTCCCCAGCACCCAGGGGCTCCGAGCTGCCTCGAACGCGCGGGAAGCAGCGCCAGTTCCAGCGCCGAAGCCCAGGCACAGGGTAAGCGAGGCGCACGGAGCCCGGAGCGCGCCCCGCCTCCGGATGTAAATCCTGGGGGTGAGCGGGGTCGGGAGGGTGGAACGCGCGAGAGAAAGCCTGGTAATGAGGACTGCAGCTGGCTAGGGGCAGGAAAGAATCCCTAGAAAGAAATGCCCCTAGTAACTAGTTTAACATAACTCGGATTGTTTTCTCCCTCTGCGCCTCCCAGGCTAAGATAGCGGCGGAGAGCGAAATGAACATCAGGCAGGAGTTTCAGACGCGTTCTACGAACTCTTAGCAGGCGGAATCCTGGCCGGGCAGGGGGGCAGCTCCGGCATCCGGGAGAAGAGAAAAGAGGGAGAAAGATCTTAGCCGAAGGGGAGGCACGGGGGCGGAGAGGGGTGGACCCTGCGGAGGGCAGCAGGAGGGGAAAGATGGTGACAATTATTACTTTACCCAGTTACTGAAAAGTTTCCAAGGGTTTTGTCCTTCCATAGCAAGCGTGCCCTTGCGAATGTGGGGAAGTAGGTTCATAGCAGCCACCCCTTCTCTAGATGCGAGCGTGGGGCCCTCAGCTCCACAGCGGCCCCTCCGCTGCTGTCCCCGGCGGGGCTCAGGAACTCCCGCGTGTTCAGTGACAGTCCACCTGGCAAACAAGGAAACAGGACCCGGACGGCCCCAAAGATGCCTCCGAGGCCCTACGCGGCATCCGGCGGCATCCCAGGGGAGGAAAGGCTAGCACACAGGGGGAGGTCTGCTCAGGTTCAAGGAATTTGAAGGACTTGCCATTCCTGACTTCTGTCCAGGCTGATGCTGTCCTCCGAGGGTCTGTAAATGCCACACCTGTTGCAGCTGCAGCTGAATCACCCACGGCTGTGGGCTCGGTGCTGAGGGGGAACACTTGAGCCACTTCCGATACAAGAGGGGTGAGGATGGAGGCCCAGCTCCACTCGCCAGGCGGGGTGCTGGTTGCTACCCGGAGAGGGAAGGAATGAAGGGGAGGAAGAGGCAGGAGGAATTTTGCTTGGGAGACAGACAGGCTCCTCCAGGGTTTGGAGAGGTGCTGCTTCAAGGGCAAACGGGAATGAGCAGAACATTCCTGGGAAGTGCTCTCCGCTCGGGTCAGGCACACTCCCTCCTCCTCCTGACTCCACAGGACTGTGCAGCCTTGGGAGGCAGGGCCTGGGCCCTGAGTTCCCCCGCAGCGATTCTCAACCTGTGGGTCGCGACCCCTGAAAATACATCCTGCGTATCAGATATTTACATTACGATTCATAACAGTAGCAAAATTACAGTTATGAAGTAGCAACGAAAATAATTTCATGGTTGGGGGTCACCACAACATGAGGAACCGTATTAAAGGGTCGAGGCATTAGGAAGGTTGAGAACCACTGCCCTAAGGGGTCCTGGGAAGGCCCCAGCTCCTTCCCAGGCTGCATCAGCCCTGGCAGTCCTCTGTGGAGCCGGCGCTGCCTTCCTGTTTCACCCTAGTGGGCAGTGGAGATAACGGGGCGTGAAACAGAATTTTACTGGTGTGATTTTATTGTTCTCACTCTGGGTGTTGGACTTCAGGTCCACCGCTATTTAAAAATCCGCAGCTTGAGTTGAGGAAATGGGCAGGAAATGAAGTGTTGGTATAATAGGACTTTTAACAACAGTGAATTGAACAGTGGTTTCTCTTGAAGGGTAGATTTTTGGAGTTGTTTGGTGCGTTTGTTTTTACTTTTATTCCTATTTTTATTGATTTGTGGTTAGAATATATAGTCTGTACATTTCTTATTTTAGGATTTCACATTTTTGTGTGTGGTCTAAAATATAGGTTTTTTTTGTAAGTGTTCCAAGGCCACTTCCATAGAAGCAATCATATAGAGCTGGGGTCTGTAAACTAAGGTCCATGGCCAAACACATCCCTCAGCCTATGTTTGTAAATAAAGTTTTATCGGAACACAGCCATGCTCATTTGTCTATGCATTATCTATGGCTGCTTCAGCTATAAACGTATGGATTGCAGAGCCTAAACTATTTGTTATCTGGCCCTTTACAGAAAATGTTTGCTGATCTTAGATATAGAAGATCTGAATTATTTGATTAATAATGGAGATCTAATAAGATATAAAGATAGAGAATATTTTGATTAAAGTATCCGCAGAACATATATAAACATTTACCATATTATTATTTATTTTTTTCTATTTCATCTGCTGAGGACTGATAAAATATTAAGGTCTCTAATAATTGTAGTATGCCCTTTGATTTCTCCTTATGTTTCTGGTAGTTTTGTTTTATGTGTTTTAGTGCTATGTTATTCAGTGCATACACGTTCATGATGATTTTATCTTCAATGTGCAGTATCCTGATTATTATAATATAATACCTTTTTGCCTACACTTTGCATGATATTAATACCTCAACTCTTTCTTAATTGTCTTACCTTGAGCAAGCTATTTAACTTTGTACCTGACACATAATACCTGCTAAATAAACATTATCTATTATGATTGTGCTTTTTTTTTTTTTTGCATTCACTTTCATTTTTTCCTTCCTTTGGCTTTCAACTTTTAAAATCCTGTTGTTTTAGGTGAGGTTCTTATAGGTGTAGAATAGTTTAATTTAGTCTTTTTTCAAAATAAAAAATGTTAGCATTTACATTTATTGTGATAATAGTTGTTTGCTATTGTCATCCAATTTTTGGCCATGTATTCTGTTTTCTCCATCCTCTCCACATTAGGTAGTTTATATTGTATTTTTAGATCTACTAGGCCACTCAGTGGATGGTAGTGCCATTTTCAGGACTTAGAAATACAGGCTTGCAAGGAAAGATGACAAATTTAGCTTGGGGCTTGCTGGATCAAACGTGAATATGCTGCCATTATATATTGAAATAAAATATTTTAAAATTGGTCTTTGAGAGCTTTGAGATGGTATACCAGTAGAGGACTTCACTTTATCCAACCACCTTTTTTTCTGAAAGTTTCATTTCTTTTATAAAAAAATATATTTTTATTTCAGAGAAGAAGGGAGAGGGAGAGATAGAAATATCAATGATGAGAGAGAATCATTGATTGGCTGTCTCCTGCACGCCCCCTACTGGGGATTCATCCTGCAACGGGCTGGAAGTTTCATTTCTTAAAATTCTGTGCCTAAAACATTTGAAAGTTTCACTCAAATTCTTAAGTTTTTTAAAAAATGATTTTCGGTACTTTTAGTTTACGTTCCAGTAATTTATTTTATATTAATCTAAAGTTCACATGGTTTGTTTAGACTAGAGGCAGATGATAATATCCCCTGGAACTACCCGAAAGTAAATAAATTGGGATGAACACCGTTGTTATACTTGTTTAGTTCTGCCCATGGTAGTGGAATCGTTTATTTTCTCTTCAGTTACTGCATAGAAACTCAATTCAGGGATGTTATTCATAAGCTGTTGCCATGACGCATCACTTTTATGTCATCAGAATACGGACAGCTACTCAGAACAGGGGATCTGGAGATTTCCCTAGAGACACTTTCCAATTACAACTTATCCTTCATCCAGGGCAGAGAAATTTCTGTGAGACTCCACCCTTGTCTTAGAACTTAGCCTAGATAGAAATATGAGGGTCAGCACATATTCATCTCAAAAATTTGTCCTCCCCATAACACTTGCTAATAAATAACTTGCTTTGAGTAAATATTCAGCGGGCAGTCTTATTCCAAACATTTGCTTAGCAACCACTGTACAGAGCACACAGTGAGGGGGTACCAACACACAGAAGATTTGCTCTATTTCCTTAATCCTTAAAACGCCTGTTATCTGATAGGCGAGTCAACCTGATATTAAAGTATAACATGTAACATATATATGGAAAACCTTCAGTGCCAAGAAGTAGTTACTTGTAAAAACTATGAAGAGACCTACAAATTTAAAATGGGATGGGACTAATAATTTTTAAAAACCTCAAGATTTGGGCCAAGTTTTGAAGAAATATGGCAAATGGATTGTGACTAGGAGAGGCAGGGTCTTTCTGGCTAAAAGAATAATGCGTGTGCTGAGGCAAAGAGGGTTACTTTGTCCAAGAAGATCTTAGATGAGCCCCAATTTCCTACCAGATAGAAAAATACTCTCGGAAGCCTTGCTTGCCTTGCACAGAGGGGTAGAGAGGAGCTGGAGAGGCCGAGGAGGTGGCTGGGAGGACCAGCTAGAAAAAAGCCTTGAAGCTCAAATTGAGGCTGAATCTATTATAATAGACAAAAAGGAGTTAATATGCTTTTTAACCGCTAAATCCACGGATCTCTTCCCAGGCCTTCTTTTCTTTGCTCCCCTTGAATTGTTTAACTCCGTTGACCCCTCTTTTTCTGGGGAAACTGCTCTTTGGCTTCTGGGAAACCACCTGGGCTTATTTCTTTTTCTAACCTCCAATAATTTCTTTTTTGACATCCTTTGCTGACTTCTGCTTGGATGAGATGGTGTTCCCGTGGTTCTGTCCTCGGCCCTCTCCCTCACCGTATATGCACCCTGTGTAATCCCGTCTCCTTTCAAGGCTTCAGATGCCTTTTATGGGCCCAGTCTGTGTGTATAGCCCAAACCCCTCCTGAACCTCAGACCCACATGTCCCTGTGCAGAGGGGTCAGCTCAACCTGTGTCTAAGAGCCTGGCCTTTCAGAGCCATGTGATCTTGGGCAAGTAATTTAACTTCTCTGTGCTTCATTTTCCTCAACTGTAAAAAGGGGACATCATAATAGGGTGGTGTAGGGATTACATGAAGCTGTGTGTGGCCCAGAGTAAACTCTCAGGATAACTTCGTGTTTGTTCTTTCTGGATTCCTCCAACTGCATGTCCTGTAGTCACTGTAGATTCAACAAAGCTAGATGTGGCATCTCCCCTCATAAGCCTGTATTTCTAAGGTCCTTTTAGTTGCCTAAACTAGAAGTCTGGAATTAACTGGATTCCTTTATTCCCCAAGTCCTGTCTCTTCTACCTTCTCCCCAATCTCCCGCCATTTCCTGCCCATCTTTCATGCCTCATCTCCTTGGATTCCTTG